TTATCCTTAGTAAAGGTGTTAATTTGATCTGGCTGATTACATCTGTTCTGTTTGGGTAGAAACCTCAGTTGGAGGAGGTTATTCCAAGTCCCTAAGATATCATTTTTCTATTTTATTTGCTTTTAGTTTATTGCCCCCAGCTCTAAGATCAAACACCTGAACCCCCAGGGGCTGATTCAAGACTCTTTTGGAGCTATACTCACAATCCTTTGTCCCCTCCATTAAGATGCTTTTTCAAGCTAATGTGCTTTGAATCCTGATAATTTTTTTTCTTCTTTGAAGGTTTTCTGACTCACCTCATTGGTCCTCTTAGGAGTTCTAAATTTTAGGGTGGGCTCAGTTTTACTCAACCCAGAAATGCTGCTACTCACTCCAGGGTGATATTGTTGTAGCGCAGCTTTTCAACTTCAAAACTATTCACACTTTGAACCAGACAAATCTTTATTGGTTGGGGGGCTGTCATGTAGAATGTTTAGCAGCATCCTTGGCCTCTACTCACTAGATTCTTATAGCACTTCCTCCCCTGCCAATGTTTCCAGTCATTGTCAAATGTCTCCTAGGGACAAAATCATCCCTGATTAAGAACTAGTGTTCCAGAGGGGAGCCTGGGTGGCTCAATCAGTTAAGCATCCAATTTTGGCTCGTCACGATCTCACAGTTCATGAGTTTGAGCCCAGCATCAGGCTCTCTGCTGTCAACGAGGATCCTCTGTCCCCCTCTCTCTGTGCCTCCCCCACTCATGCTTGTGTACTCCCATGCACTGTCTCTCTCCCTCTCTCTCATGGTGAAGGAGGAACAGAAAAGTGCCTCAGTCTTTCTGGCAGGGTTAGTGTAGGCTTCTTTGGTGAAACAGCATTTGAGCTGAGTTTTGTAGGATAAGAGTTACCCAGTGATTACAGAAAGAAGAGTTTTTAAGGTACAAACAAGGAGGTGTTCATGGCCCTCTCTGATGTCTTCTTGACCAAAAATGATTCCTACTGCCCCTATGCATGCCCTCAAACATCCTAGGCCTACAGATGCTTGGCTCTTGCCAGCCTCATTTTTACTCATTCCATTTGAATAAATTCCATGTCCCTATGCTGGTTACACTTGCTATGCTAGGTACCATTTTGGAAGAAGGACTGGATTTCCAGAGCAAGATCCTCTAGAGGTGGGTTAGTTTGTCTTAAATGTTACGTCAACATGCTGGATAGATTGAGGGAATAGGTTATGCTGTGAACTGCATACACAGTTCTGCATACACTGAACCTGGTACTGAGGAGAATTTTAGGCATCACTTTGGATCATCATATGGTGGATTGTGTCAGCTGCATCAACATTCACAAGGGACCTATGTTCTACATCACCGGGGAGGTGACTCATCTGATGACATAATGATCTAGGGGTGGAGTAGGAAGAAATCTGCAAAGGAGTGTGGGAGGAAGAAGTTGACAGCATCCTCCTCCAGTTGTTAAATTCCAGGGCAATACTGGTGGGTGGTGGGAGTCTCATGGCAGGAGTAAATGTATCACATGGAAACATTGAGTTTAGCGATTTTATTAATGCTACACGATAGCAGGCTATGATTACACTCTGGCTTTAAATACTGAGGTACCCACCAAGGTACCCCTAAAGGAGGCTGGGCCTGGCAAAACAGCGTAGCATAGAGATGCAGGGAGAGCACATGGGTTGGGCCATATACATCATACAACCACTGTGGAGGACAGTCATGGGTAGAACTGTGCTTTGCCAATGATTTTTTTAATGACATAACTTAAAATAATGTTAACACTAACAATATTTGAATTTTCAATACAACAAAATAGGAGTAGCATCAAATATGTTGGCTAAGTTGTAGCACCAGGCAGTTCACGTCATGTGGTCTCTCCCCTGAGAGTGAATCACTGTGCACCGAGCAGCAAATACACTGTCCCAGGACTTCATCTTAAAGTCAGAGGGAGAAGAGCTAAGATTGGCAGTCTCTGGGCTGGCAGGGTGTAGATTTTAGAATTTGAAGGGTTTCAACCAATTGATTGGGAAATTATGTCTGAAACAGCATAAATCTCTCACATTGGTTTCAGAAACTTGATGAAGTAAACATTCATTAAATATCTGAAAGCACCGCATTGGGATGACTGCACCAGGAAAACCCATTGTAAAACAAGTCATTTCCATGAAGAGGCAATTGTTTGTATCCACAAAATTATTTCTTTTTTTGAAAAGTCTTCGCTGGTCTCTTGGAATATTTTCTCTTGGTGTGTTAAACTATGTTTCAGTGTTCAAGAATTCAATTCACCCACAACTTTCCAGAGAACAGTGAACTCTATCACTATGAAAGACAATGGAAATAAACCAAACTGGGTTTGAGAACCTCACTGTATTTAAGCACCAGACCCTGTGGTGGCCCCTCTGGCTCATGGCAGATGTGTATACAGCATGTCTTGCCACATTTCTCACTTGCCTGTTCAAGGTGGGAAGAAAGGAGGACGTGCACTAAATAAATCAACAATGCTGTTTGATGTTGTCCCCTGTGAACATCCAAGGAATGGTGAAGGTACCATCTAGGTTCTCGTCTTTAGAGCCTTCCTGTTAAATCTGAGGCCTCTTTATGACTGCAAGCAGGGGGACCTGTCAAAACCCTGATGATCCAAAGATGAGTGTCAAGGTAACAACTGTGTCAGATGACTCTATCCTGGAGTACAGACTGACAGAGGCCACACAACTATCTCACGACACAGCCTCCATACAGGCAGTGAACGTCTGTGATACATGATTAGGGGCTCATTTCCTACCTTTACGAAACTGGAGAAAGCCCTAGAATGGAATATCTGGCCAGACCCTCCCCACATGTCTATCATCTTCTCTGCCATGTGGGTCATAAATAACATGGTCCATTTCGTGTATTGAGAAATCTGGCCTAGTTGAGTTTGCTGAGGTCAGTAGGAATCCAGGTTTGTTCCTGAGTTCTGGAAGACTGGTCATACCCAGGTCTCTGATGACATGCATAAACTGATGCTAGATAGTACAGTACCGGGTGAAGTTAAATCAACCTAGCTTGCTAAATTTGGCCCCCTGAAAGCCCACACTACACTTCGGGGATGGTCTCTGCAAACGGCCTCATTAGAAAAAAATCAGGTTCTCCTCCACTCCTGTCACTAACCATTTAAGCCTCTTCTCTCTAAAACATATTTCACCAATGATTGTCATCTACCAGCAGTGTTTGCATTCAAAGAGAGAGAACACAAAACCATTATTATTGAGAAATAACCTCCCTGGCTTTAGGTAAATGTTTCTGCTTTCCTCCTGTTTCTGCTCCTTCTTAAATTTCATTCCAACCCCAGTGTTCTATTTTCCACAGGAATTTATCAGAATAATAGACATTAATGGTTTGAAAGAAAATGAAAAAGCACATAATATAAACATTTTAAGCTTCTAGTATCCAAGCAATAGAACTGGCATTGGCCAGCAACACCATCACACATTCAATAGATGTATATGGACTCGCCCACCTGTACATCTATCTGTATGTTTATATTAGTTCTGCCACCATCTAGATATTAGCACCATTTTTCAATAGCACCATTCTGCTGAACGGATAGGTAATCCACCAGAGCTATGGGACACTACACTACCTGTGCATGAGTCTGGAATGTGCTACCCATTACCTGAAGTCCACATCCCTGCTTCCCGCTCTGTCAAGAACTGGTTCTGAGGTCTTCTTCCCTTTGAGGCCCTCCCTACCCACCCACCCACCCAGGAAACTTGCCTTGTATTTGAGACCACAGCCTCCTGATTGGTGGTGAGAACGTCCAGAATAAGCATTCCAGCATTCATTTCACTTTTTGGGTCTCTCTTGACTGTTCCATCCCGGGAAACAGACCTTAAAACTAACTACTGGGTGTACTGGGTGTACTTAACCTCACTTTTGAGTTTTGTTTTTTTTTTTCAAGACTAGAGGTGCGTTCCAAGTTCTTGTACTTAATACAGTTTACCTGGTTCTTTGACATATTTTAATCTTGAGCACCATTTTCTGTCCTGGGGGTAGGCAGGTGTGTGTTGCAGCCACAGACCTGGCTAGAGTAGCTGTTGTGTGTAAACCCCCAGCAGTGGAAACACAGCTGGACCTGAACTGATGACTCAGGCAGGGAATGTGCTAGAGAGGAAACGTCAGACAGGAAGACTCATCTACTCTTCTGCAAAGGAAACGTATTTGCCAGGAAAGGGGGAAGAATAAAGATCCATGTTTCTTTTCTTATACTAGCAAGAATTTGATTTCTGCTCGTTTGCTTTTTAAGAGTTTTCATAGAAATTATCCTTGAGTCAGAAATGTCTTCTGTATAATTAAGCTAAATCTTTTACCTTTACAAATCTTATAGTTTCTGCCCATTTTCTCTTCTTCTTATATCTCCAGGCACACAAGGGAGTCTAAACAGCCCACATATGGAGTCTACAGTGATGTAGATGGAGTGATATAGCCAGCACTTTCTCTCCCTGACTCCGGTGAGTACTGGCTGAACAAAGCGGTCCTCTGCCTGGGTGAAGTAAAGGAATGTTCCTGAAAGCTCTCTCCCATGACGTATTCAACAACAGCTTCCCAAGCAGGAAGGAAAAAAAGGATGGTTTCACCTAAGTAAATTAACAAGATTATTTGTTACCTGGATACATCTGGTTCTGTTTCTTGATACTCCTGAGGTAGTCTGGGAAAATCCTGGTGTCTTTGTTTTTATTTTTAAGGAGGGGAAAGACATCATGTCACTGACTTAGCTAATCTGGCACCTTTCCTGGGAGCCAATCCCAGGAGATGCCTGACTCTCCTGGATATCTCACCTGCCTGTCAGGGAACAGCAAGCTATCACAGTCCCACGCCTTTTGCAAGGATGTTTTGTGGCTAAAAAACACAGTGGATTTTGTTTTGAGCCAAAGTTGGGCCTGAGAAACCTCAGTGCAGTGGTCCCTGGGTCTAGAAAGTATACCATCAGCAGGTTGCTGCAGTCTGTGGTGGAGGGTGGCTTCCTTCTGGACTAGAATGCTTTGGGGTTTTTGAGCGACTGTGGCTTTCTTGGCCTTTGGGTGTGGACGATGTGTGTCTGGGGACATGAAAGGCAGCACTGAGCCCTCACAGTGGGCACAGAACATTTCTTCATGGTTTTTAGTGTTTGGCAGAAACTGGCTGATAACTTGTCCTTGGTGCAAAGTAAATCTGTGGAAGGAGAGAAAAATAAGAAAAAACAAAGATTATCCTTTGTAAGTGAATGAACACAACTTCTATTAATGGAAGATGTTATGCATCTACCAAGAAAGGTTTCATAATAATTCATAATAGTTGACATCCACAGAACACTGATTATATATCAGACACTCTGCAAAGTATTTGTGTTAAACTGAACTATCAGTCACAATTCTTCACTCCTGCGTAGCGGTGTCATATACATTCCCACCCTTGCCATGGCTGCCTGGTGGGTGTGAATACTTCTCCATTGCTTAACTTTGGGTTTAGCCCTATGACTTGCTTTGGACAATGTGACCTAAGTGCGCATGATCCTTGCAGGGCTTTGGGGGGTGCAGGAGGAGGAGCCTGCCCTGATGAGCTTCTGCTGTCACCGTGAGAAGGACATGGTTCATGCACCTAGTGGACCAAGGAGGATGAAAGATACATGGAACAAACCTAGACCGGACCTACAGCTTGCAGCCAAGACCAGCCAACCACAAGCTAGATCAGCTGACCCTCAGCTGATCTGTAGATGCTGAGCAAAATACACATGATTGTAGTCCCCAAGTTTAGAGATGTTTTGCTCTGCAGTATTGTTTTGCAACAGTTGAATGCAATGTTTCACATGCACTGCCTCATTTAATCATTTCAGCAGTACTATCGGGTAAAAATGATTCTTTCCATTACACAAATGAAGATGGTAAAGCCTACAGGAGTTAAAAACCTGCACAATGTTCCCTGGCTAGTAAGTGGCACAGCCAGATCTAAACAGAGACAGTTTTGACCCCAGAGCTTATGCTCTTATCAATCATGTTACTCAGAGCACCGAGCAATCACCCAGCTAGCCAACTAACCAATGTGTTCTGAGCATAGCTCAGCACAGCAAAGGATACAGGTATATAGAATGTGGTCGCTGCCCTCCAGAAATGTACCCGGTAGGTGAAGCCATAAGACATACACAAATAATTCCCCTGGATTCTAATCCTTGTTCTACTCTAACAGCTCTAGGTAATTAAGTTTCTCAATTTTTATTTTTCCTTTGGCCCTGCTCTCCTCATCCATGAAGCAGGGAATTTCTCAGCGACCATCAACACCACACACATTCTAGGAGCAGTATTCAGACTGGACAGGTCCATGCAGTCCTGGGCTGGAAGAAATTCAGTGAGGCCCCAAGTAGCAGATTTTTCTTCTACAAAGTGAAATTCAAACTTTGCCTGGGTGCCTCTCAGAGCTCTGGCTGCTTTTCCTTCTTCTTTCCAGAAGAGATTTGAATCATCTCGAAGAAAAACATTTTCACAAAGAGGCTGTTGTCCTTTGTAAATAGGACTGTCAGTAGAAATAAAAATTGAGGTAACATCGTCTTTACCCAAAATCTGTGACAGTATGTTTTCCTCTTTATACTTTCTTTCACCTTCAGGTCATGAGGGCAAAAAATGCTTTGTATCTCCTCATAACTCATCATTCCCTTGAATGCGCCTTGTGTTTTTTTTCTTCTTGTGAAGAAATAAATGTCTTCTATTCGCTGTCAGAATTCTATTTTGTTTGCAAGTTTTAACAGCACTTGGGAATAGGCAACACACAATGTGCCTAGATCCCCCCAAAATCTTCACTGTTGATTCTTTTCTTCTTCAGGCCCCTTCCCTAAGCCTATTATAAAATTCCACAGGAAACTTTCTTAGGTGCTTTCACGTTTCAGGAAAGGCACACATTTCAGCCAGGGATTCCTACTGTGGAATAGGAACTGGAGGTCCTCATCTCCCTCATCTCTGCTAGAGCGGCCTGTATTCTCCTTGAGGGCTGGCCCTCCATCATGTGGACAGCTGTTCAGAATGAGACAAAGATTCCTCTCTAGGCTACTGGCTTTGGAACAGGGCCAGCATGGAAGCCTGGGTGTCACAGGTCTGCTCCAATTTCTCAGTCAGTATCTCCTGAAGCCCTTGTGGACGGTGGATGGAAGAGGTGCATATGGTGTAGCTCTCGGCCCCATGTTCTCCCTGCCACGGAAATGTGAGCACTGAGGTCACCTCGGGAAAGGAAGAAGACAGAGGAAGTGCGAAGGCTCAGCTTGCATCCCCTTTCTCCACAAAGCCTCTTTTGGCCATGCTGCCCCACGTGGATCCCTTCTGTCTCAGTCTCCGAACTTGTATTACTATTGCAATATTTGCTCCAACATGCTACTACATTCCATCTTGAACTCTTCTATAGTGATGTGAGTCTTTTTTGTGAGGGCTAAAGTGTGACCTCTCAAGCATGTCTACCATTATAGAACAGGCTTCCTAGAGGCTCCCAAATCCCTTAACCTATTGTGGGCTGAATTGCATCATCCGAAGTTTTAGTGTCTCCCAAAGTTGGAGTCCTAACCATTGGTACATGTGAATGGGACTTTGTGTGGAAATATTTCTTTGACGATGTAATAATGACATATATGAAGATGAGGTCACATCAGAATAGGGTAGACCCTTAATGACTGGTGTCCTTAGAAGAAGAGGAGACAGGTACACATAGTGAAGAGAAAACCACATGAAGACACTGACATCAGAGGGAAATTAGCCATGTGATGATGGGGGCAGAGATTGAAGTTATGCAGCTACAAGTCAAGGAAAGCCAGGGATTGCCAGCAACCACCAGAAGCTTAGACAGAGAGCATGGCCCTGTTAAGACTTCGATTTTGAACATCTGGCCTCCAGAACTGTGAGAATACATTTCTGTTGTTTTAAGCTATTTAGCTCCTGGTAGTCTTTTATGGTAGCCCTAGGAAAGTAATGCACCCACCCTCCTATGACAATAATAATAATAACAGAAATACAATTTATTAAGCACTTACCAGATCACCAGACAATATACTTCACATATACTGCCTTATTTGAGGCACATAGAAATTTACTTGTAGGTATAGCTATTCTTCTTTTAAAAACAGAAGGTTCCAGAGAGGCTTGGTAACTAGACCAACATTGATTGCATAGCTGGTATGTAGATGGTGGCTGGAATTTGAATGTTGTTTCATTGCTTCTAAAACTCGGACACCAAGGGAATGAATCTCTTGTACTGGTGATAGGGGAGGAGGAGGGCACATGGACAGATCTTCCTTGAAAAGAACATCCTCATTTGCTCACACGGGGCCCCCTATTGTCAGGTTAGGTCACCTATGTGACTGACAGAGGCTCAACGATGCCTGGTGTTCTTGCCTGATCTTGGGAACCATGAGATCACAAAGTCTGCTTTTCAATGGTCTTCAGAACACTGGGAGCATGCTGGATCCTGGGGTGCTCCTGTTTGAGAGTGGGGAACTTGAAAGACGAGTGGAGGATAGAGGTGGCCTATATTGGGAGTGTGTTCCAGGCCTGTGTTTAGCAGCTCATTTAGATAATGACCATGAGCCCAACATCATGGCATGGCTTAACTGCACAGTTCTCTTTATTATAATAAAACAATGAAGGCTTGTTGTATTCATCAGCAAACTGGATCCTGGCCGAAGCACACACAATGCTTATAATTAGGGGCGACTTGGAGAGGAGATCTCAATTTGCCTCTGCCTGTTCAACAGAAACCACGCTTGGAAATTTAAAGGGACACGTATAAGCTTGTTTCTTTGTTGTCAGCTGTGTCTAGGTTGAAAGGATAATATTTTTCCCATAGAAGAAAGTTTAAAAATGATTTCAGTATTGCTGACAAATTCAGTTTCTGTCAGAGTTTGGGTTCCTTGAGGCCAGGGGCTGTATTGTACTCATTTCTGTCCCCTCAGTTTTTAGCATTTGTCTGAGACATATGTTGTGATCAGTAATATTTGCTGAATAAATGAAAACACAAAATTCTATTCATCTGGAAGAATATTCTTGAGTAGAAAGTTTGCTGATTCTAATGTTCATTTGTAGCAACTCTGGGTCCAAGTACTGTGTTCATTACTTTCCTTATTCTTTTTCTTGCCTTCTCTACCCCTCATTCCCTCGTTAAAAAACAACAACCCAGGAATGGTGCACATAAGAGCTTTGCTTTTGTTTTATAATCATTATGAATATAATGCCTAGAATATACTTGATAGTACATATTTCTGGATAAATTTTTAAAAATTTGTTAAATCTTTAATTTTTTTAATCTTCTAGATACTTAGAAAGGGTTTAATAGTCTCTATATGGAAATGGTAGTTCTGATTTAGAATTTAAATCATTAACAATTTTGATGGCATCTAAAGGAATTAAAATGGCCTGGAGGAAAGCAAACCTTATGTGGAATTCATACCTGATTCTACAGGATGGACACAGGGTGTATGTTTATTGTGATGGCTGGCTGACTGACAAGAATCCAGGCACCGAATGACTTATTTTCAAAGCATTTTAGAAGGCTCAGGGGTCAGGGTTGGTGGTAGATTCTTTAAATCAAGGAATTTCTTGAAGCTGCTCTTCATGTTGTTTCTGTATGAGTAAGCATGGCTCTGCCTTCAGGAGAAGCTAGTAATTATCTTTTGTTGCCCTGATAATTGTTGAGGTGAGTGGAATTCATTGCTATTTGTATCCACTGACACCCAACTATTAGTCACCATCTTCTCAGTGTGAGATTTCAAGATAAAAATACCATGTATGCATTTCACGTAGTTTTGATTATTGAAGATGGCGCTGTCCAGTGATAAGACAGTTAAAGACTATCTACATAGAGTTTAAAAATAACAGCCCACAACACTGAGCATGGTCAATCAAGCCTTTTTGCTGCTTCAATTATATAAAAAATCAATACAATACAGACAGATACTATATCGCCTTAACATTTGAAAAACACGGTACCATAGAAGGTGATGAGATGACACAAAGGGAAGAGGGTCTCAAATTGGCTCCTTGATCTAGAACAGGGTGCTTCTCAAACTTTAATGTACATCCAAATCACCTGGGGATCTTGTTTAAGTGCAGATTCTGATATATGCAGTAGATCTGAGGTGAGGCCTGAGACCCTGCATTTGTAACAAGCTCCCAGGTGATGCTGGGGCAGCCAGTCCAGGGACCAAAAACACCTCTGAAAATGAGCATTAGGTAGTAGCTTCTTTCGGAGTTTCAAATAAAGTCAATGATAGCCACCCCCAAATGTAAGTTAGTCAGAAAGAAGTTGCGCGTGACAATCACATCTAAAGCATTTTCTCCCTCAGTGTATTACATTCAGAATTTCCAGCTAAGATCTCCCTCTTGGCTCTGCATCTGTGTAGAAAACCAATCACAGGACACTCCTACCCAAATGATTCATAGTCACCTCAACAAACATGTCCTAAACAGAACTCATTTCCTTTCCTCATTCTCAAACCCACTCCTCGGGGGGCTTGTCTCAGTGAATGGCAGCCTCCTCTACTCAGCTGCCCAGGTTGGAAATCTGGGCTTATCTTCCCTGTTATTCCCCCAGGAACAGAGACTTGCCAAATCTTCCTGTCAAGTAGTTCCTGAATCCACTTACTTCTCCCTACTTGCACACCACCCTAGTTCATGCCACATACATCTATGGCTTGGGGGACAGCTGCAGTCTCCTGAATGGTCTTATCTATCTTCCACATGGCAGCTGGCATGACTTTCTCATCTCCATGTCCCTGCTTGGAATACTTCAATGCTCCTTCTGCTCTAGGATAAAGTCCACACTCATCCGCATGCATCGCAAGCTCCAGCTTTGCTTTCTACAGTTCCTAACTTCCCATGACCTTCATACTTGAGTTAGACTCCTGTGCCATGACATTGTATTCTTCCTGGTTACTGCAGAAACAGAAAGCCCGTCAGGAACCTCTTGCATGACCTGTCTACACATCGTTCACTTCCTCTACAGGTCTTCCCTGCTCTCCCCAGGTCCCAGTCCATGCCCTTTCCAAGAACTCCTGTAACATTCTTACCTCCCTTATCAGGGTCACTGGATTGCAGCTTTGTTCCTTGTTTGACATTATGTTTAGCATGGAGTCAGTCAGGGCCCAACAAATATTTGCTGAATACGTGCATGATTTGTAAACACGCAACCTCTAAGGAAAATCTCAGGGTATGAATTCTAATGGCAGTCTCCATTGAATGCCAGTCCCCTCAGTACTTGGAAGGAGGCAAGGAACAGATGAACAGAACACAGGCTCCACTACCACTAATCTCTAACAATCTTTAGAAAAATACCACCACTATGTCTGACCCACATGCTGGTTTTTCACTTAGCTAATGACGTCTAATACTCAGTTCTATAAATAGGGACAGAGTAAATTCAGTCTGACCATCTAAATCGCAATTTCAGGACTACATCTACAGGAGGTACCCTCCGCTTTGTAATGGATGTAAGTAGACTATCAAAAAATCCTCTCTTTGCCTGAAAATCTCCTCCCTAGGTTTTTAACTTAATTTTAAAATCTCACATATTAATGAAGCCCCAAATACCAATGAAACAGACATTAGAGTTCATGCTTATGCTTGAACCCATTCATTCATAAATGGATAGAAGAAAGCGTAGTCTATTGAAATGAAGTAAGTTGCCCAAGGGAGGTAACTGAACTGGTTTGTTGATGGAATTTTTTCTCTTTTTAAAGGCACTTAATACCTGCTGTTTAAAATCTTCACAACAACTTCAGAAAGCTTGTATTATTATTCTCTTTATATCCAAAAGGAAACAGACTCAGAGTGTTAAATAATTTGCCAAGGTCACAGATAGAAAGAGGCTGCTACTGGATGCAAACCCATTGCTGTCTGATTCCAAAACTGGATTCTTTTCACCCCCGAGGAAGTGACGCATGTGAAGAGAAGACCTGGCTTGGTGCTCTGGCTCTGAAGTCAGCCCACCGGGTCTTCATGAACGGGCCACTTAACCTTTCCAGGCTGCAGCTCAATGGACTTAAATGACGAAGGTGACCATACGTTATTCAGATCGGGATGCTTTCGGAAAGTGGAAGTTGAATGTAGCAGGTAACAGTGATCTTCCTCTGTTCAGGTGTCCCTCCTTATGTTTTTTGGTCCATTTTCATGTGTCACCCCAACCCCCTACCCTGCTAAGTCCCAGCATCCCTGTTCTGTAGCCTCTAATACCCAGTGATTCTTGCTCTTTTGGAGGACTGCCCACAGACCCTCCTGGAGTTGCTTTGTCTCTCCACGTAGAGAGCTTTTAAGACCCGCGAATTCACTTTCCCCAGTGTAGCCGTTGGCCAATGTGAAGAGTGTGGGAGTGTGAAAGTCCAGCTCACAGGCCTCAGGAACAGACAGATCTGACACATAGCTTACACCCTAGAGCTTCCCTGTGGGACCAGTCTGAAACAGCAGCCTGGCTGTGCTTTTGCCCTCTTTTGTCTTGCTTCTCCTATTCCCTTAATGGTTTTCCTCGGGAGCACTTCCTAAATGAATCCCTTGCACACAAATTTGTACCTCAGAGCTGTTTCTGTGGAACCTGACCTAAGCCAGTGGTGCTGGATTGATAGAGACAGCCGTTCACCACTTGACTGATTTCCTGAGAAAGGCTGGAGCATCTCTCAGAAATTTCTGAAAAAACAGAAGTGATTCTCATCTCTGTGGGATGACATCAGTGTGAACGTGCTTTGAGACGGGAAAATGAAAGAGATAATCCCTCAAGGATCACCAGATCAACAGACAGCTTGCTCTGAGTGGAGCTGGCTGGCCTCTTCAGCATTAAGATTCTTCGCTCAATAAAGGGGACTAAAATTATCCACAGTCGATTCATACAGGACACCTTATTGATGAAATGTTCTCTCCCCCCTGGGCAAAGGCGTTCACCCACCAGCACTCTTCTTGCAGGCCTGCAGGCTGCACTTCTGGACTTCTGGAGGTCTGGCTTCGTGATCACACACGCATCGGTCTTCAGTTGTGTTGTCTTCTGAGGAGACACAATGCACAGTCCTCTTCTGAAAGCCCCCTCCACAGGAAGCAGTGCACTGAAAAAGAGGGGTGCACAGAGAGTCACGGTTCTTCCCTGGGACCACCAGGGGGACTCTAGCAGAGCACCTCTAGCCCCACCATACTCAAGGAGGGGACAGTCTCGATTATCAGAAATCGTTCTGAAGGAGTCAGAGAATAAGGCACTACAAATTTGGAGATGTGAATTTAGGCAGAGTCTATACTACTGACTGTGTGGATTGAATTTAACTTAATTGACTGTTGGGTTCTCTGAGGAATGTGGACAAAGTCTGAAATACAAGCAAAATAGAAAAAGATTTCATTTCTAAGCCCTGGTGCCTCAGAAATCCAGTTTCTCTGAACTAGATTTGACTTGGGGCTGGGAATCAGACATGAAGAAAGAGAAGTAGGAGAGGAAACCATGAAAGAATGGAAAGAGAATCTGGAATGGGTCCAGCTGGACCATGTATGGCCTCAAGCCACTCACAAGATTTTATCGCAGTGTCATCCAGTGGCTGCCTGGAAGCAGAAAAAATTTTTTATTTTGTCTATATATTATGAAAATATATAATATAAATGTATGTAATATATTAAAATATAATATATAAATATTTATATTATATATATTAAAATATATATAAAATATATACTATAATATATATTACACACACACACACATACACAACATAAAATTCATGATTTCAACCATTTTTAAGTATATAATCCAGTGCCCTAAGTGTATTCTCATGGTTGTGCAATCATCACTTCTATCCATCTCTAGAACTTTTTTGTATTTCCAAATTGAAACTCTGTACTCATTAAATAAGAGTTCCCCATCTTCCACCCTCACCACTAGCCCCTGGCAACCACCAATCTATTTTTCATCTTTATGAATTTGACTATTGTATGTACCTCATATAAGTAGAGTTGTCCCTGGATTACTTCAGTTAGCATAATGTCTTCAAGTTTCCTCTGCAATATAGCATGTATCAGAATTTCTTTTAAGGTGGAATAATATTCCACTGTATGTATATACCACATTTTGTTTATCCATTCATCTGTGGATGGACACTTGGGTGCTTCCGCATTTTGGCTATTGTGGACCACAGATACTCTAATGACTAACATTCCACTTCAACATTTTCTTTCTTATATAATTAAACTTCCCAGAGGGCAGAAACCAGAAATAACTACTGAGCTGATCTTGAGTAAATAAAAGTGTGCAACAGAAGACAACAGGAAGAACAAGGGCAGTTAATCAAGCCAGAATTTGATCAAGAGTCCTGGACCAGGATTCTGGAGATGGGCTTTTCCACTCACTGCATATTGTTCTGGATCAAACACTCAACCACTCTCTTTCTTCCCCTGTAAAATAAAGTTGTTACATAAAGAACAAATGACTTCCTTTCCTACTTTCTGCTCCTAAGGGTCTGATGGAACAAGGCTGGGCTGGTCCAGGGTGCTGAAGTCCTGCTGGCCCTCTTGTCCAGGGCAGATAAAGATGGAAGAACTAATTCCAAGCCAAGCACAAAAATGAGCAGAGAGGTCACTGCCCATGCATTAATTAGTCAATTAAAATGACTTGTGATAAAGAAGATGCATGAATTTGTGTTGGTACTTAATTGGAGGATTAAGCAGGAAGCATGGTTACTGATTTGGGTTTTGTTAATTGTGGTAATGCGGTCAGTTTGGGGTTTTAGAGAGAAGGTACACCTCTTTTAATGCTGAGTTCCACTTCTTTGGAACAAGTGATAATAAGGAATCTTTGTGTAGAACTGAGAACCCCAAAATAAGGATGCGGCTTAGCTCCCAGCTAAGGCTACTGAGTAACTGAATTGACCATACCCTAAGGTGAACTGCACACTAGTCTCATTCAGTCCTGGATGCCTTATCCAATCAGAGCCCAAGGGTTCTCTTCAGCTTAAGCTGGCCTGTTTGGAAATGTTGACTCCCAGGGCTTAGCAGATGATCAGCAAAGACTCACTCTGTGTGAAGCTATAAAACTCTGTTGTTGCTACCACTCAACCAACATAGATGGATTGGAGAAATATGAAAAGGAGGAACCATTAGATGTTTCAAAACTAATGCAAGCATCTTCACTGAATAGTTTTCTTACACTTACTACTAATATATGGTAGGCACAGTTCTAAGTGCACAGGAAATATCCTTGAGTTCAGTCCTGGTAGCAACCATGTAAAGTAAGATTTTTTTTTTTT